AAACGTTTTCACAAGGAGAAGCTTCGATTAGTAGATTAAATGCGATGCGATGGTCTCACAAATGTTCATATTTTTGCATAGTAAACCGTTGTGAATACATGATGTTACGCACCCTGGGCCAACACAGTAGCATATATTTGGGTTACAAAGGCTACACACGCCAACCGTTTCATTGGCTGGATAGCATACACATGAACTACGGTCGGAGGTTTATATGGTTTTCGTTTATTATTCACCCGCTTTCACCGTTTGTGAGTGCATGTGCTGCATTCTAACAGATGAATTTCGGTCAACGTGTATACGAGATCGATTGTGCCCGAATTCAGAGCGCGTGAAAGGCTGGAAAGACAGTGTGCTAACTCAGTTTGCAATATGTGTCTACGGCCTGCAACTATCCCATTCGAAAACTTGACACAAAAAGTAACATGATAATCTGAAAGTTTCACAAGGAACTCTTTCAGGGATAGTGAGAAAACATAACTTAAAATCTGTACATCACGAAGTAAGACCTTTAAATACTGTTGAATTGAGTTAACATGAGATAAATAGAGTGAGAAAAGAAAAATGTGCTGGTATCTGAAAGAGAAAATATTTGAATTGGAAGAGCGAAACTGTCTCATTCTTCGAACGACGGCTGGTGCAGTGTACTAATACCGTTAAGAATATACGTTATCCAGCAAAGATAGTGTCTCCGAAGTTTTGGTTGAAATAAATTAAGGTACTACGTTGTCATTTATCACCAGGGGTATACGGCAAAGAAAGAAAGCGAGCAACCACATAAACAATCTGTGGGGCTGCTAGGATTTTGACTTCGCTTTAATTGGGAGGGGGGAAATGCATTTGAGGAACTTATAATTTAGCTCGAACAAATAAGAAATGGGATGGAACAAAACAGCAGCAGCAGCAGATTTCGAAGTACGTGCAGGAGAAAACAAAAGGAATATCAGAAATGTATATGAAAAGATAAGTGTAGGATAGTACAGCTCCTGAGATCATTACAGAGCTGTTAACTAAGGGTTTGGCTAAAATCTTTATTAGTCCTATAGTTTGTGATCTTTCGGTGAAATGACAAAGCTCGTTAGTGTTTGGGAGCACTCGCAGAATCCTTTGTCCGAGAAATGGAGTCTAATCCTGGGTAAAAGCCAAGAAAAACAGACGGGAATAACTTACCATAGTAATTCAAATATGTGGTGAGAAAATGGATAAGAATGAAGACCGCGTTCACAGAGAATATTTTTGGTTGAAGAATGAAATAAAATGAATCATGAGGAATGTTAATGGACTTTCGCGGACGTTTAAGAGTTGCCTTTTCGATCACCTCTTTTGGGCCTCAAACGACAAAGCTATGGGATGAAAACGTCTGAGAAAGACGGAAGACCTGGATGCTGTTCGGATCAGTTTTTCTGAGATCGAATTTTCACAGTCTGGAATACTGTAAGTGAAGATGGGTTCATTTACCATGGAGGGAATCGCCCCGTCCAGAAAAATAGTCCCAAGTAGAATCGTGCAAGGAGCAAGCCATCCCGGACTGCGGCAAAAGAAGTATCACAACGTTTCTGTGGACCCCAGAGTTTGAGAAAGGCTCTCGGTTACAAATGTTTGCTGTTTGATTGAAGTCGCTCCATCGCAAGTGTAGACTGCATTTCAAACAACTATAGATCACAGGTCGCAGGTCAGGGATGCGTACAAAACGAAAACGCAGTGCTTGGTTTGAGTACGTGTTTGGAACAGCCCAGAATAGTGCACTTCAGCTGACTTCACCTGGTTGCCGCGCTTGTCTTGCGTTTTGTTGCATGAAAAACCCAGAGATTTCATTTTTACTTTGCGTTTTGTTCAGTTATCTATATCACAACAATCCAACTGATTTGACAACTGTGGTATACACTGAGTTGTAAACAGATAAGTATGTATGGAGCAACGCCATAGTTATCTCCAATTCCGCAGAGACCTTTCCGTTAGGTAAGGTCGATGTCATTTACGGGGAATGAGGACATGTTAGTTTTCGAAGTTGAATTGACAATTGGTGGGCAACGGTTTTGGTGGTGAACCAAACCAAACGAAGAGAAGTAGGATCAAGACTCAATTGTTGCCTACAGTCAACCCCTTGCAGGAATCCGGTAGATCTTTTCCGAAGTAGTTTACAAGTAGATTTTGTTTTTTAACGAGCTGTACGTGACGGAGTCCAAAATACTCTCAAGTCATGATTAGAAAGGAGATGAAATAAAGGCTTTGTGAAAAATCCGTCTGCCACCCAGAATTTGAAAAGGAACAAAAGAAATATCATCATAGACTTGGCAAAACCAAAAATCAAGCCGAGTTCCACACGTGAAGTATTTCAATGCAACGGACCACATACAGGTGTATAAGAATGCTCTGAATTGATGATGAAATTACAGACGTCCGTGACTTTCAAAGAAGCCCTATTACTTCATCGATGAAAACTCGAGAATATGTATGAAACCGCAACATTCATGTTCTAATGATGTTCTCGTTTTGAAGATTTGCACTTGAATTTTGTCATTCAAGTGTCAGGCATTGTACCAACACAATTTTTACCGAATATTTCTCGTCCACTCATCTGACCGAAAAAGAAGTTGTTTGCAAAGCCGCACAGGTCGGTTAAAATAGTAGTTCAAGATTTAAGTATGCATATTCACATCCTTTTTGACATACAGAGTACTGAAATAATCACGTCAGATCAACTGCCTATTGAAAACCCGAGTCTGAAACAAAACTGCAGGTAAATGAAAGCAGTTCACAGCATTTTGCTCTTTAGAACTGATCCCAACCATTGCGTATTGGTCGAGCATCTGAGGATTTACACCAGACCGTAAGCAATTCAGACGTTCACGGAATACAACCAAGTAACCCAATTGTATATTAGGTTGTCGCCTGAAGAGATACAAGAACCTTTTTGTAAAAAGCTTCATAAACGAGAAAATGTAGTTGAGAATAATTGAACAAAGGCAGAAATGTCGTCATCGATTTGAATCTAATCAGGCTCAGATCTGGTGTCACTATTTTTATCCGAAACGCCATTAAGAAGAATACGGAGTGTTCTATAAATTGTGACAAATTGGTTTTGTGAAAACCTGCCTGTATTTCGGTTGATACCATCCTGCTTTCAGTCTGTGATTCATCAACTACTCCTTTATATACACACATGGTTCGAATAGGTTCCAATTTTTCACATAAGGTTATTTTTCCTACTTAGTGCTACGAGTCTCATACTGTGCCGAATCAATCCAATACCAAGGACGCTAGATGGAGGTGTATGAATCTTGTTAAAATTAAATTATTAGGCTTATATAAGTCCGTATGAAACCCTATTTTTAGATTTAGAGTATCAAGCTTGGATTAACCCATTCGATTGTTCAGAGGCATCAAGCATTCTTGAAAAAAGTACGCATTGCTGATGAGTCCCAAACAGGACGAAACAGCTGTCCAGTGCTCTTTGTTGGTTATCATAAACTCAATTTTAGATATTTGTAAGAATTTTCTCAGTCAGATTGATGACGGAGCATCTGGAATAAGATTACCGTCTTCAAAACAAAATTAATTTACCAATTTCTCTATTGTTCTAAAAAGAACTCGTAGCAGGTTATGCAAAGGTCATTTGTAAAAGAATATTTTCTATGGCACGTATACCTATGATAATCTAGCGAAGATAACCTTTGCCATTGATATAATGTTTGCTGAACCGGTCAGCAATCTCGGGAAAGTCTCTTCCCTATGTTTCATTTCAATAAAATATGTAACAAAGTAAGATCTCGTCTCATATTATCTATCGATTTCGTGTACGCCCAGTCAACCGTCTACGCACAACAATACCATATAAATGGACCTTTGCATAATTAAGTTTATTTAAGCGCAACGATGCTGGTTGTTTAGTCGCTATCAAACTCACTTGGAGATAATTGGACGCACGGGGTGGAGGGATTTTGATTGCAAATTCAGAAATAGAAGATGCTAGCGAATAGACAGTTATGTAACGGAAAACAATTAATCACGGTGGAAACGAGGTTTAAGGTATTTACATAATACCTACATAATACATACATAATACATATAAGAGAACAGTTAATATAGCTAATTTGCATTTAACTCACAGTTACTTGTGAGTAGTGATGTGCGATAATTGATATTTATTGATTTGAACTGACATCAGACTTCACCTTTAGTTCATCTATTCAAACTCACACTCGGAAGCACTAGACTCGAGTTTAGCTCTTATTAGATTTCATCACCAGCGCATATATAGATGAAGCGTAAATGATTGAAACGGGCAAGGGATAGGGACATTGTTCAATCAAGTGAATTAAAGGAGTTATGTAACATGAAAATAAGAAGAACGAGGTGTCAACGTGTGTAATTAAAATCAAGGGAATTTCACAGGCTATTACTACACGGTTTCCTTCAAAATATGAAGTTGCAATCCAAAGAGATTTTCAAGAACAGTAAGAATGGAGTAGACAGAACCAGGAATTCAACTATCTCAAACGAACGAGCTTGTTCACTACTTTGTGTTTTCTCACAATGGGTATTGATGATATTTCGACTATCTCAAATAAATTGACGAGTAAGCATTGCACGAGTTTTAATAAGTCCTTCAGCTAACTTGAACAAGCTGTGAAACGTTAGGGTATGGCAGTTTCTTTTTTGTATAAATGCACACAACGTGCCATGGTTTGCCATTATTGTGCCTGGATGGGCTGGAGTTCCCAGGCACGCCCCTGATGTTATAAAGAAATGCGTTTATTTTTCTCCACTCCCTACAAATTTACGCGGGAATCATATCAACAAAACACACACACAAGCGGACACTCAAGGTCACAAAATAGTTGCTTTTACGTCCGGCGCAACCGAATAAATGTGACTGCACGCTGATTGGCTGTGCAAACTTGGAACGTTGATTGGTTTAAATTATTTTTGAATCGGCCACTGCGATTCTCTCAGTCTCATAAACTGGTCACCGGCGAGTTTATCTGATCGGAAACGTCATGTCAAAAAGTGTAAGTTTTAAGCCGATCAACCCCTCTGAACCAACGGATTTTGATGTCAGTCCGCGACTGCGACTGTGGTCTGTTGGTGCAAATGGAATTCTGATCGCTTCCGCATCCGGTGTGATTTTGTCCATTCTCGCCACATACATTCATCGGCCATGGTTGGGGTTGATGAACGCATTGCACGAGATGATCAGCGCTCATATGACTCTGGGATTATTGCTTGTTCTCGGCGTGATATCTGTCGCACTGGGTGGAGTTGGACTTTATACGATACGAAAACGGTCATCCCTCATATTGGGTCTACAAGTGAGTTGAGTGAAACGTATGGTTTTCCGATTGCTCATGCCCAAGTGATGGCCACTTCGTAGCAAATACTCAGATAGCTGCAATCCTTTAGGCATACTTCATCAATTATAATGTTTCACCTGAACCGACAAACGTTTGTTCTGCCGAGAGCAGGTTCTGTGATAGCCCCAAATATTTTACAAGCCTAAGCAGCTCCTGAGATTTCCAGTGGTCGCTTCGTTGGTTTTCTGTGTAACCAACTTCATCATGCAACCAAACAGAATTCTTTGCTTTTCAGCTCAGTAAATCGCTTCACACTGCAGACATAAAGTCTGTGATTCATAAAAGCACTGGCAAAATACTAGTGGGCCACATCTCTTTGTATTCATTCAGCCACCTTCTTAAAAGCTCATCGGTTAAACGTTATTGCAAAATGAGTATTTAGGAATAACATACTGAAAAATAGGACAAACTCTTTAGGTATAACATGTTTTCGAGCAGAAATGGCAGACAGAACAGCAGTAGTTTATCTCATGGCGGAGGGACTGACAGATATCTTGACAAACTAGTCGAATAAACGGTTCATAGTGTAGCACGTGAATCAACTGCTGATACAAAGACCACTCAAGCCAACCACTTCATTGGTAAGTTCCTCTCTGACTGTGAACCCGGTTCGGCTGAGTTTTATCCAGTGATAACGCAAAACATCGCGTAAGGCGTAGCAGGAAACACTGAGAAAAGATACAACGGCGGATGAGCCACATGGAGCCAATGTTCCGATTTCGGTGACCAGGAATACACGTTAGAAATATTGACTGGCAGCGTTCGTAACTGGTTGACGAAGAATAATATGGGCTTCGATGTAGAATCATTGGGAGGGGGAGGATAGGGTATCAGACAATGCTGGATAAACCGTCTCTGTCGGTGATTACACTTAACAATCTAATTATGAGAATCCAGGGGTTAATCAATCTCACTGGTGAATATACATAATACATGGATTGAAAAAGGCTCAAAACGTTCAAATCACGGAATGATATCAATAACGTTGTATGATGCGTACTCATAGTACCAATGTCATACATCTTTGTACTGAAGTGACATTCGCATCACCTCTTTTCATAAAACGCGTATTAGCCGGTCCCAGGGATGGGGTTGGGATAAGCACAAATGCTGTTAGAAAGGCTTGAATGCGAATAAAAAAAGAAAAGCGCTATTTGGGAAACATGAAACCAACCACAAAATAACAACAAAGGTAATCGCAGTAGTTCACTAGTTCAGGGTAATGGGAGAGAGTTGTAACATTTCAGAGGTTCATTGAAACAATAGGTTGGGCCTGTTCCCTAAATGAATGCGTAACTATCAACCAGAAGAGGACAGTGTATGCAATTCCAACAGGAGAACAAGGAGAATAGACTGGTGATCAGACCCATAGCAAAATAAGAATCAAATGAGGTTTTTCATCATAATTTGAAACTTTCTATATAATTTTACAAGTGCTTAAAATGATGGGTGTACATTGCCCCAGAAGGGTTGAGAATTAGAGTGCCGGATAAAGTCAAAACCTACCGAGCATTACATTACAGTATTTGAGAATAAAGTTATAATCTAATCTGAGCTATTTAATGTCCTGCGGGTAAGGCTCTGAGTGGCCGAAAGTTGAGGTTTTTATTCTATCTTAGGAACTCTCCTCCTTTGTTCATACACATTATGGACTCAGGAAAATTTAGAATAGAATGATAATTCATGAAATTATTTGCTGCTTACTAGACGTCGTGTAACCTGTGGGCACCGAAAATTCAGCATGAGGGGTTCCGTTCGATCCCCGAACGAATATCAAATGAAAACGGTGAGTGACTGAATGAAGCTCTGTGCTGCATAAACACTTTCCACCAGAGGCGAACGACTATTTTTTTCCAAATAACTTGGAAATATACACAATGATAAGGTCGATTTTTAAGCAGCATGCGATAATAACATGCCGGCATGCTGGAATGTGATAACAAAAAACGCCAAAAGGAAGCATATAATTGCGATTTGCTTGGCAATCTTGGAAACCAATCCGAATCTAACCGTGCCATCGAATTTACGATCATAACCAGTGGGAATGAGAGTCCCATTTGAAGTGTGTAAAATTGAATGTTGAATAATGCCGTAAATGGCGAGTAATATTCGTCACAGAATAAAAATAATAACGATAGGTGTATTTGTCATTGATAATGTAGGTTTACAATGCGTTCAAAATGTTAGATTCTTTATTTTACTCATGGACGGAGTTTCCAACTTCGAGTGAAATGTATTTTGAGTTCATTCAAACATTAAAAGCTTATTTTACAGGTTGCTTAAGTTCCAACGCTATGTTTGTCAAAATTCCTTATCATTATAAAGTGCAACAAATAAATTCACTACAAAATGACGATGGAAACAACACTGATAGATATCATCGAAACACGTCAGCCAAATTAGCGCTTCTAGCTCCACATTCTTTCCGACAAACACAAATTGCTAGTTACGAATAATATAAAGTAGTTAGTCCGTAGGTCTAGTGCCCCGTATTCTGTATTCTGTTGTCCTGGAGATAGAAGATACAATACCATTCGATGAAATCGGGTAGAGTCAGTGAATTACGTCGACCAATAACTTAAGAGATGAAAATATTAAAAGACTGAACTAAAATCAACGTAGGGAGTGTGCTCGCATGTCATATACGCCGTGGTAGCCTCTAACTGTGATTCGACCGTCAATCATCGCGGGCGAGCAAGGCACCAAATGGAAAACGATACACAAGTATTGCAAAACTGGAAAGAAGACGTACGGAAAATTGTAAAAACCTCAATCTGCACATGTGTTCCTAGTGTATTAAAAGAAGTTGAAAAATGCATGGAGCAAGAGGGCTGGTTTTAATCCAAGGTGGTTTGTATTGTCAACAGAAGAGAATGGCCAGAAAAATTGGCGTAAAGGAGAGTATTGAGATTGCATCGAGTGGGAGCGGTCGTCATTAATAAAATGAATAAAATTTTATTGCATTAAGAATCAGTAATACTCAAACTGCATTTGGTGNAGAATGGAGATGTGCTGCTAAACAGTTATGTTGGTAACAGAGAGCCGAGCGTTATATCCTTGGTGTATGCACTAAAACGATGGTCAGGACTGGGAGTTATATTTTGAGTACGAAACCGAAATAAGATGATAAATCCAAGGACAATTAAAGATGCTCTGGAGTAAGGTTGATTAAATCGTTGACTAATTAAATGGTTAAAATTTGTTCACTAATCAACGTTTTTGAGTCAGTTGGGTTATTCTACTTGTATTCTATCACACACTTCCTATTTATTTGTTTATTAATTTTATAAACGTATTGTCGTCATAGTTAATTGGCTGCTAGTCTGGTATTGGAAGTTTTTTATCACATGAAAAGAGAATATGTGGATGACGATCTATATAATTTTAATGTAGTTTATCTTATTTTTATTGGAATATAAAACAAGGAAAGCCCTCCGAAGTCATTAGGTTTAGGCAATATTTTCGGTCTGATAGAGATTCAACGAAATTTCTACATTATTTTATGGAGTGAAAAATTAACGAAATTCTGACTAGTAGAACGTGGAAAAATAAGAAACTTACCCGGCGATTTCCACCGACGATGCTATTTGATTCCACAAACTTTGCTTCTAGGATCCTGTGGGTATGATTACGGTGAAATTGGCAAATACCCAGAAAAAATCGATTTCTGACATTTTATAACTTCTTGATGGGAGAGAATTAGATGAACATGGTAAAAATTATAACCATTCGAGTGGGACTCGATTTTCTACAACCTAACTGTCTGGTTGAGTCAAGGATCATTACTGGAAGTGCAAGACAATGTAATGCAGTGTTCCGCGGTTCTCAGAAATCCTGGGAGTAGGGTTGGAAGACCTTGTTCACCAGGCTCCTACAGCCGCTTTCTAAGAGTACGGTTTTTCTTGTGAGTTGGACTTACCGACAAAATCTGCTGATAATTAAATCGAAATAGTAAATCTGGCATTTTGAATTTTATTTGGTAGCCCAAATTGTGATGCTAATGTTAGTCACGGATGGTTTTTCTGCAAGAAAGGTAGCTTTTTTAAGCACTTCTGTTTGAAAATGATTTGCAACAGTGGTTTTGCATTCGATATATATACTTATGCACGATCAATTTCTGTACTGAGTTACCAGTTAGCTTCCTGCACAATACAGCTTAATTCAGATGTTATCGATTGGTATACGGCAATGCGTCGGCTCGTTTATACCAATCAGATCACCAAATGACGAAGTGAGAAATCAAAAAGACTACGAGAATGCTGATCAATAAACAGAAGCAAAATAGGCAAACGGCCTTCTGAGAACACTAACGGATAAAGCAAATCGGAACTGNNGGGGATTGAAATCGCTCACTAGATACAGATTGTGTTTAATGCATTCAGTCCTTCTGGAAGACGAAATCGGACTGATCAAAGGTACAAAAGGTATGCGATACAATCACTGCTATTATTGGTAATCAGTCTGTTAATAAGCAAATATTTATTTCATTGAAAGCGGGGCAGATAGAGCCTTCAGGATGGGCACGCTTCGGATACTGGTGGGGAATTATTTCGGGAACTGTCTCGTTACGCTAAACGATAATCAGATGAATTTCGTAATTCCTGCTTAAATGGAAACATTTGAACTGATTGTGGCATTCTGCAATGTAAAATTGACTGAAGACGTTGTCATTTAACGATAGATGATATAGTATACTCTTATAAATTGCAAAAATGCGTTAGTTGGTACAAAGGGCTACAGACATAACGCGACGAAATTACCTGGCTGCATCAACAACGATTGCGGGGAATTCATTCCGAATTAGAGCTGTTTTCAAGCCCAACTGTCGAACACGGAATAATGATCTTATAAAACCACCTAATGCATGTTCATTTCGCGTTGGCTGTTCACTCAGTGCATCCGCTTTCCTAAAGAGCATAATGAAAACTTTGTCATGTATCTTCTTCCCACTACTAGCTGCATTTTCCATCTCTTTTTTGACATTACAGATTTTTGCTCTGATATTCCTGGCTGTGTTGGAGGTTGGCGCATTGTACGGTTTCCTGACGCACTGGCTGACCAATCTAACTCTTGGAGTGACGTATGCTGTTCAATCATTTCGACCGGGTCAAATGGATCCGGCCAGTATAGCAGCAATTCAAAGCATTCTGCATTGTTGTGGTCGAAGTTGTAAGTAAGGTTTTGAAATGTATTTACCAATTGCACTGTCCCTCGAAACGAGACCGCATTTTATTTTTGAGATAAGCTTCCAGTTTAAGTGAATACAGTCAGGTGCTGGTGTTATGCACGAAGTGTCCTGATGGACCTCTAATTTAATATTTTTGGTGTTGTTACATGTAAGCATATGTAAGCCGTGAGTGATCTAATATTCTTTTCACTCGACTGTGAGGCTTTTCTGATCAGGGTAGTTCTTCCGATCTGGTAGGTGGCTGGATCCCTTGGGACACAAAGACTCCTTCCTACTGTGGTTCCAGGTACCTGATGCATGCAACAATAATCTTACACGGAAGAAACTGATCGTTGCACGAGTACAACCAGACTGAGAGTATCCAAGGGTCAAACCCTTGTGGGGGTTTGGCACGGTCTGCGAGGACAGTTAAACTTTGATGAGCGGATGAGATTCCCTGTCCGACCCCAAAGCTTCACAACAGGGATACTTGATTGCTTGCACGAGTGCCATATGAACACCTAAGAATTATTGTTAGTCATGCATTGACCGACTTCTCTGTCGCTATTTGCATTTGGTTAGTGTGTACCATCAGGACGATTCCGCGGGATGCCGGGGATACGTCTTGCATCACACTTTTGAGAAACGTCACGTTCTCTATGATATCTGCATAGTATAAGTAGAAAAAGAAACCGGGAATTTGAATGCATGAACCATTTCACAGTCTTCTTTCATTTGTTTAAACCTTCTACTTCTATTTACCATTTTTGATCAAATGTATCAATTTCTAGTGCATTGTTCTAGATATGAGCATATGGAGGTTGTTAATTTTTTATTGGAGTTTTAGCCAGCAGTTGGTAGACGCCCTTTGTTTGGATTTGCAAGCTGAACTGAAAACATGAGTGGTGTAGACGGTTCCTATTTCACAAGTGTTTCCAAATTCAGATTGAACCCACACAAATAAGATTTTCGTATTTTCATTTCAAGAAGGAAACCATGTGCGTTTCAATGTGCTCTGATAGATATTTTCTGAATTTTCAGTTATAAGTCTTTGAAAAAATACATTTTCATCACAACAGTTAGCTTAAAAAATACTCAAAAGGAAATGTAAATGCTTGGATGACGACATTTTCGGTGTAATAGATTTCGTCATCTTTGTATGTCTAATTAAAATTAAGGTTTTTATTTAATTGACAATCGAAATCTTACTTACAAACAACGATCGGTTCCTTAATCTTGGGGACTTTTCCGGAGTAATAGTGTGTGTGACCATCATCATCGTCCCTCAGACTTCATCTTCACGCAAAATTATCAGTTCAGCCAGTAAACTACATACTAGATCTGCAAAACCCCGACCGATGAACTAATTGAAACAACCACATCACATTACGGCTGACAAAATCTATCGAGGTTAGTTCGATCGGGAGTGATAGTTGAGAAATCGTGCGGTAGATATAAAGAGAGAAGCAGTTTACAATTCATTACATTCAACTAAGCATAGTGTGCAGAAACCTTACCAGATATTTTCATAAAAGTCTACTGTGATTCTACTTTCCAATAATCTGTTCAGTTGTCTAATGATATTGGATATCAAAGTAAATAATCAACACATAAATGGATGCCTCTTTCGGTGCACGTAAACATAGTTATATGGTTTATTCGTTAAGTTCTTCCGCTGGCCAATATATTTATACAAAGAGAACGAAGTTAACGAAAATACACTGGTAATCCGCTTGTTTGGCTCTTTCAATATTGTGATGAGAGAGTCAGTATGGTAATATTTGATGTGACCAATTTAATTATTTTATAAAATCACTCTTGAACTTTATATGACGCACGATCAAGAGTGAGTTGTTCATTTGCGAAATAGGATTATAGTACTTTACACTATTACAAGTTCACCTCTACCCGTTTAGCAGTCCGGATTGTTCCGATTTTGGGTAGAAATGTTACGCAACGAATCCCTTGAAAATGTATACAAACACACAAATGCACACTACTGACGAACCGATCGTCACACACACAGTCTGTTTCGGGTGCAGCGCATATGAAAGGGCAATGAAATGTAGGTTTGTGTCAGCTGTCCTGATTGATTGTTTTTGGATGAGGCAACATCAAATTAGAACCGTTATCACTACGCACCCTCACTGCAGGATCATACGTAGAGTTCAAACCTTCCTTGTACCATCCTGATGGTGGTTTATCACCCTCATCATAATTAGAGCTGCTTACTTTTCGACCTAATAGCCCTATCCTTGTGGTGATTGAAAGAACATGTCACTATGTCAGCGAAAAATGAGGCATCCGATTAGCTCCGCCCCGCCCCCCCCCCTCATGAAGGGCAGCATGGTTTTTGTTTTCTCTCATTGGCAAACCAAGTGGTTTCTAGCAGATGTAAA